ACACACACACACACACACACACACACACACACACATATGTCTTTATTGATTTCAGAGAGAGGAAAGGAGAGAGAGATATAGAAACATCAATGATGAGAGAGTCATTGATTGGCTGCCTCAAGCCTGCAACCTGAGCATGTGCCCTGACCGGGAATCAACCCCGATCACCTGGATCCTAGGTCGACGCTCAACCGCTGAGGCACGCCCGGCCAGGCCACACATTTACTTTTGATGAACCCTGTAGATTGTCCCGTAACTTGGATTTGTCTGATTGTTTCCTTACACAGTTGAACCTTGAACAATACAAGTTCAAACTGTGCAGGTCCAATTATATGTGGATGTTTTTTAATTAATATCCCCTCGGCCCTCTGCATCTCCAGGTTTTGCATCCACGGATTCAGCCAACTGCAGATCAAAGTTGATTTGCAGTTGGGAATCCGCAGATGCAGAGAGCAGACCATGCATTTTATATAAGGCACTTGAGCATCGCAGATTTTGGCTTCTGCAGGGGGTCCTATAACCAATCCCCTAGGTATACTGTGGGACAGCTGAGTTTTGGGAAAGTCAAAAGTTATTTGGATTTTCGACTCTGCAGGAGGTTGGTGCACCTACCTCTCATGTTGTTCAAGGGTCAACTGTAATTAGATCCAGCTTAAACATTTTTGGGATGACTTTGTCGTGGGTGGTGTAATTTCAGCATAAAAGTTGCTTGGTACTCTTTATTTGCCCTTAGCCTTATGATATCCCTGTCATCTAGTTTCATTGCTGACCATATCACTAGTTAGCTATTTTTCAGAAAATTTTATAGAAATTCTGGAGCTATAAAATAAAAAACTTCTGAGTTTCGTACCCTCTTCTAAAACTTTTGTATCTCATTTACTTGGTAGATACGACCTCTATTTTATGCTGCTCCCATGCTGTTGGATTTTAGAGAAAGTATTATTTATGTTATGGTAGGTCTATGTCATACCATCTTTACCTGAGGTGTGTAGCACTGGGTAGGATGAAGCATTTCATCCTAGGCAAACATTTACACTGATGCTTCCATGGGGAAAATATATTCACAGTAACAACTTGATATGACAAATATGTATCCCACTGTGGCAGAACTGGCTATAATGCTCAAACATTCTCAGAGTTATAAATTTTAGGTATCTATGATTGAA